TAAAATCGCAGTTCTGCGCCTGTCTGTGTGTTTAGTTTTAGAGATACGTGATTATTAAGAGTGTCATAATCACATTTTCTGGCAACAAAAAGTTTCAATTATTTCAAAGGAGGGGTGGTAAACATTTCCTCAAAATTAGAAGGATCTTTTTTTTTAAGGAAAACCATTACTATGCAATTAAAATACAATTATCTCATGTCTGAAGGCAAACAGACAGAAATGAACTGCTTGACTTCATTATACCGGGCCAGGAAGCCTGAAGCCCATTTTCAATGGAACTGAATGAAGGTTCAGCAAGATTTAAGCACCATTCTCCCAAACCTTGCACAAATAGCAAGAAATGGCAATGAGAGAGAATAGATGATGGGGTTTTTCTCTTTAACAATTAACAAGCACTTGCTGAGTCAGTAATGAGAAATATTTTTGACCCACAAGGCTGTAAACAATATTTCATCCGTGCATGAAAAATGGTTGAGGTTTGAAACATTTTCTGCTTTAATTAGTGCTCTCAGGAATTAGAAATTCTTCCTTATATGCCTGAAAACCATTTGTTTGAGGAGAATAAACATCACCCCAGTGCAAGTTACAATTACAACTCTATGAATCTGATCTGACATAGAAAACCAGAGAATTCATGACAAGATTGGAAGAGGTCTGTCCTTAAGCAGCTGACCTAGAAAACTAAGCCTTTATTATTATTTATTATTGACTGTGGTGACAGTTTACATAAAGAAAACTTTTATTCTACTTATATGTACCTTCTTGTACTTACACAGTTAAAACAGAAAAAAAGCACAGAAATACAACATATCTTCAGTTTACCATGCAAGAGTATTGAGAAATTATTTAAATAATGCAATTGTTCCAATAAAAATTTAGTTTATTAAAACCTTGAAAATATCAACTTATTAATGATTCCATGTAACAAGAGCAGACAGAACAAAACAGTGCATGAGGAGCAAAGAAACCTGGGTCAGCTCACACACAAAGTCTTACACTGCTACCCAGGGACTACTGAAACCTCGCCTGATAAAGAAATAACATGATAATGGCACCAAAAATACACTTAAGCAAAAGATCGAGCAGTTTGTAATTTGTTTAAAGAAAAATGGAGGACAAAAATAAAAGGCAATAACCCTGTGGATGGAGTAAAAGCAGCACATTTCCCCCCCGTGGCCATGGCTGCCTCTGCCTCTCCTTCTGCCCCAGGCCTTGGTTTTATGGTCTCTGCTCCTCTGCTCAACCTGTCACGTCCTGAGCTGAGGAAACCCAAACCCTCCCTGTCCCCTGGAGCAGGCTGCCCACACCTGAGCAGTGCCTGCACCTTCCAGGGAGAACATTTCTGTGCATCAGTCTTATCTTGCCACAACCAGGCAGAGGAGCTGAACGTGGCCCAGCTTGGTTCTGGGGGGAGAACTGCAGGGGAAAAGCTCCTGCCATGTGGCTCTGGAGCTTTATCTGTTCCCTGCACTGTCAGTGAACACCAGAAACACTCCCCAAGTGTCTGATTGAGGGTCAGCTCCATCCCACCCAGGGTAACTAACTCAGGAATACAGCCAAAGGACACCCTGCAGTTACAAAGGGCAGGTTAGGGTGAATATAAACCACAGTGCAACGGGGCAAGTCCAGCATCTCTCCTAAGTACAGATACACAGAATGAATCTGGGCACAATCAAAGTCCTGAAGACCATTTTCTTCCTTCAAGGACAGAGAAAAACCGTCGGTCCAAGACTTATCACTTAAAAACACGTGATTTAATCATGCAAGGAACAGGGCCTGTAAAGCACTGCAGCTCAGCAGTGACTGCTGTACCATGACTAAGCAGGTTTGGGTCTCTCTGTGCCATTTCACCTTTCAAAATTAACACAGCAGAACAAAGTTCAGTGAACTTCGTGTGTGAAGTGCATCCAGAAAACAAAATTCAGGTAAAAATGCAAAAGCTCAAATCACAACTTTTATATTTCTGAAATACTATTTTCTCACGTCTATGTTGAAAGGATCAAAAGAATCTCTCATGGGTACCAAAACTGCATCACACTGTTTTACAGCAGAGACTGCCTGGCTTTAAACACACACACACACACACACACACACACACACACACACACACAGTCAAGTTGGCTTTTTTGCTGTTGATTGTAATTGTTACAGTAAAAACTAATTCCCAACATACACTGAAATTAGTCCTGTCAGCTCTATTTTGACAGATATCCAAACCCAGTTCCTGACAAATAAAGGCTCTGACTGCCAGGAACTTCACTAACTGGATTCCTTCTGTGTCCCAGACAGGGGACTTTATTCTCAGACAATCCAGGAACCAGAGCTGTGACATTATTAGTTGTTACCACAAATCTGCCTTCACCCTACTAAAATGTCAAAGCAATTCCAAAAGCTGCCATGCAGAGACGAGGACCTTCATTCATATCCAAGAGCTCAGTGAGCTTGGAAATGTGCTGCTGGATATGAGTGAACAAGTCTGACATCCCACTGGAAACTACGGAAGGGGACTTCTCCCACCCAAACGATCCAGTGACATGTTTTGGCACATCTAAATCTAACAAAAGAGGGCAGTGTGACAGGTTCAGATACAAACCCTGCCCTGGCTGCCTCACCAAACAAGCACTGAGTTTCCTGTCACTGCAGATTAGTGAGAGTCAGATAACACTGTGCACAGCAAACCCTAAAATTCCCAAGTCAGAATAGGCAGAGGCACAACTGCAGCAAACACCAGCAGTTCATTCTTTTGGAGATTTAATACTCTCTGTGTTTAATTACCATGATATATAACACCCACACTTAATACAGCCCTACAGACATTTAAGGCAAAACAATTCTTTGTGCTCAAAAGACGAGCCTAAGGAGCAGCAGGATGGGTGGTTAAGCCCTGCAGTAGCTGTGGATCTGCTGCACTCAGTGCAGGACATTTACTGGATGGTTTATGCTCACTCGTGGATTTCTATAATGTATTCAGAGATGAAACTTGATTAAGGAACACTTATAGTGAATCAAATGAAAGCACCAAAGAGCCCAGGAGTGGGAAAAGGCCAGAGAGCAAGATCTTTATTGCACACTACTTCAGTTAATCTTACTTGGTTTTAAAGTTTCCAAAAACAGGGACACGGGAACCTGCTAATCCAAAGAGAGCCATAAAACAATTAAGACTAATAGAACAAACACCATGTGAAGGTTTGAGCTCAACAGTCAGTCTCTCACAGTTGGAAAAAAATGCTTGTTAGTGGCCAGCCTACCATCAGTCTGTCAGCATCGAGGCCAAATTAACTCCACAGAGACTCCCCCCTCCCTGAAGTCTGCCTTAATTAATAACTGTGCCAAGAAGGAACTTGGTCTGAGCCATTCATCTTTTTTTTTACATCTTAAGAACAGAAAAACAGACACATCTGAAATGCTTCCTAAAGCATGGGAAAACAGTCATGCCATAGATTAGGCACGTAAAAATCTGAGTCTAGTGCACAACTTCAACAGGGAAAACCTTTCCCACACACTGCACTGTGCTGAAAGCTGGGCACACTCAGCTGAAATAATGCAACTGATTTTGACCACTGTTCATGTAGAATGAGAAATGGCACACCAGTACTGAAAGGAAAATAAAGCCCCCCAGTCTTTGATCAGCTTCATAGAGCCAAGAAAACTAGTCTCTAGATAAAAAGCCTGGCAAGTGAAAGCCCATGCCACCTCTCCTGGAATTCTACTGCAAAGAATAATTACAAATAAGGAAAAGAGAAATAAGAAAGATTACCTTTGACCAATAGTTGTTACCATCTGAAGGCTGTTCAGTGGCCTATGTGATCCAGTTCTCAGTGGACTAGTGTCCATATCACAAAACCCAACACCACAAAGGGCACTAACTGGCAACCTTGCTGGCAGTCTCACCAGAGAGGCCAAGAATTGCATGAGCATGGAGACTGAATCCCCTCTCATCCCTAGAAGTGGTCCCTTCAGGTCAGGGTTGAGGCACATGGCTGGGGCAGTCTGGGGGAAGCTTGCACTCCCGCTGCCTGTGCTGGACCTGTTCTGTGGATAAAAAGAGGGCTTCAGTCTCCACGGCTGCCAATCCAGGTCCTTTCACACACAGCTGCACTAAAGTCACACAAGAGCCTGGTTTTCCCTCGCTTCGCTTTAAAGAGGGATTACCTTATCCCCAGGGCAATCCTTCAAAACCAGCCAGACAGTTCATAGAAAGGAAGAGTCAAACATCACATCTTACTCATCGACAGAAGCAGAATAAAGGAGCATTTGGCAGCTTCCCCCACATACCTTCTGTGTTGTGGTGTTCGTCGTCTGCGTCGAGGGCTTGGTGAAGGTTATTTTCACAGGCGACATGTGTGGTGGCAGGGAGTTGGCAATGCTCTGCATTATGTTACTCATTTTGGGGCTGCCACTTACAGGCACCGTGATGGTTTTGGTGACAGGAGTCACTGCCTTCGGGACCTCTTTCAGGAGCACGGGGGAAGAGCTGGAGGAGTTTGTTCGCCGTCTCTTGCGGGGCTTTTCGTCGTCGTCCGAGCAGCTGACACCTGGAAAAGGGAGACACTCCTGCTGGATTACACTGCCCCTGCCTGCAGCTCCCAGGGCTTCCCAAAACACTGCACACTTCTGGAGTCTGATACCCTCTTGCAAGCAAGATAAAAAGAAGCAGAGGGTAAATTACATCTCAGGGTCACAGCCGAGCTGGATCGCACCTCAGGCGCTCTCAGTCCTTGGCACAGACCACACTCACAGTGCCAGTAACCAGGGACAAACCCTCCCAAAAACCCCAGCTGCTCACTTACTAGGTTACTCCACTCAGGCTGACAGATTAAAAGAACACAAGGGCCAGCACGGGGATTTCATTCTGTCTCCAGAAGTTTGACTGATGAGGGGTCAGGGTTGGCATAATGCCACGCACGTTTCAATTTAAAACTCCTCACTGCATTGGTGGTGGTTTTGTCTGCAGCAACTGAAAAGTTCATCCTCCTACAGTCTTCTCCATTTCAGCACCTACTTCCTTCCCTACAGCACCCTTCTCCCTTTCACCTCAATACAGCACCTTGAGATCCTTTTTTCAGTTTAACTATGAGGATTTAACCTCACTTTTATCAGCTTTCCCCTTCTTTGGTGCATTTTGTGCAACAGATATAAAACGGATATAAGACACAGCCATGAAAAACAAACCAAGTCCAGGCTCAAAAGAGTTCCTTCTGCCTCACAAGCACCTACTGCACACATATAAAAAAAATCTGCTGCAATATTCAGCTCAGCAAAGGATAAAAGTGTGATTAATGGATCTTAAATCCTAATAAAACTTTCCAAAGTAGGCAAGAGGTTCATAAGTTGGTCTAGATTACAGAAAGACACAATTTAATAACCAAGTTCTTCTTGGGTAGCATTGCAGTGATTCTGAGATTTATGTTAACCAGTGCCAAACTGTTTAAAAAAAGAAACCCAAACAACCAGAGAGAAGCTGAAGAGATGCAATCCTGCTTGTGCAGGAGACAACTGAAGACCTTGTTCCACGTGCCTGGGGCTTGAGGACAAAAAGCCCCATCCCAGCAAAAAGCAGCCTTGCTGCTGGTGACTCGAGCAAACTGGGTTGGCAGTCAGCCTCTAATTAGGGTCAAGGTCTAATTATGGCCAATCTCTAATTAAAATCACTAAATATTCAAGCATTCAAAAAGTGAAGATGCAGGAATTAACACGGACAAGGAAGTTTCAGATGCAGGAGTTTCAGAGCCTCAAAATCCGTCTGAATCCAAAGTCCACAAGCAGCTGGAATGTCGGGACACAGCTGTTGTTTTGCTGGGGCATCAAGAAATACGGAAGAGAGAACTATTTATTTGTGGTCCTCAACCACAAAAAAACCCCAAAACAACCCAACAACCAACCAACCAAGGAGTAAGAAAGAAAGATTAAACCAGCAGAGCATTATTTTATGTTAAGCACAGCTCATTCCATGCCCTGTTTTCACTGCTGGGGTTCTGCAAGAACGTTTTTCCTTTCATGTCACGTTGGAAATTGCATTTGTACAAGGTCAAGCACAGGCATTCAGCTCAGAGGTAACCCAGGCCCACTGTAAGTCACCCCTGACGAGTGAGGAGGCAGAGGCAGGGAGGGGTTAATGGCTCAGGGAGGCTCTGCCTGGGCAGAGGGCACCCCACACACCAGTGCCAAAGGCAGGACCACAACTCACACCTCCCAAATTTGCCCCTGAGCAGCTTTGTGAAAATGAATGGGACTGATGGAACATACCCTGACAGACACGTGAGTTCTCAGAAACAAAACAACAACAAAAGGAAGCACACAAAGTGGGGGAAAAGTGAAATCCAGGGACAGATAGAATAAAAATGATCAACCCTCTATCATGTGTCTAGACTGGTTTGATACTCATTACCATGTCATAATTCAGTAGAGGTCTACATTAAATTTTTAAGATGTTAAGAACATTCTCCCCTGAATCTTTAAACTGAAGCCAAGTGATCAGTGTATAAATCAGAAAAACCTTAATGCAGTGGGTTCCCCGGGCTGACACAGCCACTAAGGATGGTGGTGTGCAGGTAACATTATATTTATGTGTAGTGTGACATTTCTGACTGGCTGGCAACTTATACAGATGTACACACAGAGCAGAAAGACTAAAATAATTTAAAAAATATTAAAGATAACCACAGCAAGCATAAAAATACCACTTATAACCTTCGCTGTTAATCTTTCTTTGTCATTTTGACAGAAGGACTGAAGGGAACATTTTAATTATTAGCAAAATAAAACTACCTACGATGAGGGCATACACATGAGGCTGTACTCTGCTTTTAGAACTAGCTGATTTATTAGCCAAACAAAGGAGGGGGGACACACACGACACAAAAAAAGACTGTTTCTATTTCCAAATTTAAATATATGAAGGTGGGAATCTGGTTGGAATCCATATGAAGCCTTCACAGCTGCCCAGGAAGGCAAGTCTCACTAAGACTGACTTCCAAATCAATCACAAAATGGCCAGACATAGTCAATGTGTGAGCACATAAATGCCTGTCAAATTGCACCCTAAAAAAAAAAGAAAAAAAGTCTGTGTCAACTGTGAAAGTGGAAAGGAGGGACCTTTTCTAACTCAAGTGAGTGAATACTATGCATTACTTCAGCAGAATGAAGAGAGAAGTCCTCTGCAGAAGCAACCAGCAAAGCCACTCTAAAGACAAGTTCTTAACAGGATGGATTAGAAATCCACCGATACACAGCAATTTCCATATTTTATTTTCAAAATCTCTTCCCCTCTTGCTGTCCTTGCAGCACTACTGCTCCCTGCAGCGTTTTGCTGCAAGCAGATTCACCCTGAACACGATTTCTCGGGAAAGGGGAAGCAATAAATTCATTCTTTGACCTAAATGAAGGCACAAAGGCCTTCAGTGACCTGCCCCAGGTCTGAGTGTTCAACTCAGCCTGTGCTGCAGCCCCCAGCCTGTCCCTTTCCTTCCCTCTGGTGCAGCAGGTGCTGGGATCACTTACTTTTGACGTACACAGCACTTCCACTTGGCAAGACGACTACACTGGAGGCGGGGCTGGCAGGCCTGGGGGACTTCACTGCTGCTACACTGCCACTGGGAACTGGGGTGGATGCTGGGGTTGAAGTGGTACTTGTGTAGGAATAGCAAACCACCACTGAAGAGGAGAAAAGACACCTTCCATATAACTGCAGTGCAGGATCCCATTGCTCCATCACTGTGTTAACAACTGAGGTGGAAGCCAGAGACTCACTGGGTCATTACCCCCATTCCTGCCTCTGCAGCCCTGGCACTGTGGAATGCTCCCCAGCTTCAGCTAAGCATGGCCACGGAGCTCGTGGCCTGCAAAGACAACACAGAAACCTAACCTCCCTCCTCCTCCCACCCCCAGAAATCTGTGCTTTTTGGTGAGGCTTTTTGGTATTAATCTGATGTTTTACTTCATAATTTGTTCTTTTTCATTTTAGCATTAATTCAATGCTTTGATCTTTCTGCTTTTCTGGAAATGACCAAATCTAGACTTGTAACTGGTAGAAAAGTGTTGTTGCCTCTCCCCAACAGTACACCAGCTGAAACAACCAAAATATTCCTTCAGTAAGGAGGATTGATTTTGCTAATCAGTTTTTTTAAACCATTGCTTATATGTAGTAATACAGTGATGCAGTATGTCACAAAACCAGGACGAAACAGCCTGTTTCCAAGAAGTGTTACACATGTTCCAGTTGCATAAAGCACAATTCAAGCCTGTTCAGCCAAGCCAGCTGGAATGTGTACTACCATTATTTCAAAGGCACAGGGAAAGCAGAAAGCAACCTTTTAACGTGTTGCCTTAATGTGTCTGACCTGAAAAAAACCAACCACACAAAAAAACAAACCAACATTTTCTTGACTTCCACCAAAACCTACTTACACTCTTAAAACAAAGTGTTCTGAAGTGTCTTTGATCACTTACAGAACTTTACCAAACCTTAAGCCATGGTTACAAGTTTTTAAAGCTTACAGAGCTGAAGAAGTTAATCAGTGAATGTTCCCCTCATTTCCTGACAAACTGGGATTTTTTTGTCTCAGTTGCCAGTGTGCTCACCAACACAAAGCTGCCAGAGTTATGCTGCAGATACTGAAAAGGTATCTTTAAAAAAAAAGAGTTTTTTTATATTTTCTGTGAATAACGTTTAATAAGAAAGATTCGGGATTTATTTTTTTTTTTCACAGAACCACAGAATCAGAAGGGTTTGGGCAGGAAGGAACTTTAAGGCTCATCCAATTCCCAAAGGGACACCTTCCACTAGCCCAGGTTGCTCCGAGCCCCGTCCAACCCAACCTTGAAACAACACCGTTGATATCTAACACCAAGTTCTGCTGTGACATTGTTTTTACGCTCCCCCGGGTCGCAGCAGGCCCCCCGTGTGCCCCTCACCTTCCTTGCTGCCGGTGTCTGCAGGCAGGGGCAGGGAGGAGTTGTGCTGCACGGCGGCGTTGGCCACGGCGTTGGCGGTGACGGTGAAGGCCGTCTGCGGCACCAGCCGCGGCATCAGCGGCACCAGGCGACGGCCCTCGATGGACCACTCCGAGGAGCTGTTGGGGCCAGACATGCTGAACACAAAGGCACGGCCTGTAAGTCTTTGAATGCTCAGGATTCTTATTTAAGTACCTTTTTTCCCCCCCAACAGTTCAGGACATGCTCCAGCACCACCGTTCAACTTTCTTCGTTTCATGAGGGCCCTCACCTCTCTCAGCTGACACAGAAAACCTCCCACGTTAAATAGAAGAGGTGATTCTTCTCTTACTGTTTTGTTTTACAGAGCCCTTCAGGGCATCACACTCAGACCCCCTTATTAGTTTGCTACTGTTCAGGCAGAGTTGGTACCCTCTACTTCTGGAAACCCAACAGACTCCATAAAAGACTCCTGAAATGGATTATGCTACAGGGAAAACCCCTCAGCTTCTAATGCTAATCTTGTTTTGGCTGAACAGGAGAGTTCAAGAGTTATTAAAGCAGTCCCAAACAAGGTGACAGAACACGAAATTATCAAAATACACCCTGTGCGTCTTCCTAAGCAGAAACCTGTCTCCTGCTGTCACTTGCTCTTGCCTTAGTACTTACACACAAACTAGAATGTTTGATAAAAATGCTGTTCTCACCTAGGTGGAGAAGTGTTTCTCTTTATGACTATTTTACACGAGTCATTTGTCAAATCAGCAAAACCAAAATGGTGAATTGTTTTCCAATGCTGTAACGTTCTTGAGCAAATCAACTCTTTTAATGTATTAATATATTCTGAAGAACAACTTCTCACATGAAATATTGCAAGCAAGTTGCTGCAAAAACTACTACAAATTAGTTTGTAAAACACACAGGATCTGCTCTGTTGTTAAATCTCGATATGCTTCAGCATTCTTCATACATATTCATACAGCACAAAAGGAGCTTCATGAGCTGAGGTAAAAATACATTTTAAAACCAAAAAATAGAGAGTACAAACATTCCATATAGTAAAGCTAGCAAAGTCAGCCTTCCTAATGAGTTGAAGAATGATAGAAATCAAATACTGTATTACCAACCATCACTCACAAGGAATTACCACAGGAAAGATAAAGAGAAGCAGCACTTCACAGCTGCACTTTGTCTGGATTATAACATCTCACTGAAGTGCAACTCCTCAGGGCAAACTATGCATGATCTGTAAAATGCTAAGACCAGAACTACTGACTTTAAAAGGAAAACCTGATTCAAGAAAAGAATCCTGATTTGACAACCACATGCTTATTTTTCATTATTTTTTCCCCCTTTCTTAAAGATTGTTAAGTAACTCTCAAAGGGACACAACCACTTGTTCTCCTGCTCCTGTGCACCTCTGAGCAGCAGTGCCAGCACACCAAGGAGGAACCAGCCCTGCTGGTGCCAGCACAGCAGCTGCACTGTCACAGGACAGGGGACACTGATGTCACCAACTGCTCGCTGTGGTCCTTTCTGCTCTGACCATTCCTCCCCTCTGTGCTGATGCACTGCTTTCCACTCATCTCTCCCACCTCTTTCCCCTCCCTTTGTCTTTCCTATGTAGTTAAGTCCCTCTTAACATAACCTTTCCAAACAGCTTAAAATAAAACTGAAGGCAAACCAAGAAGTGAGTAATAAGGCAAACATGTTCATCCTGCTTAGGAACTTCTCTGTTTTCTCCATTCTCTGTTTCTTCTGGTCTGCCTTACAGAAAGCTTTCCATGCCACCAGACTGTTTCTTACATTGTACCTGTACAGTGCATGGGACAGCCTCAGATTCAAAATCTAACTCTACTAAAGAACTGCTTGACGTAGACCTGACACAGTAATTCTTTCAGCCACACACTGTTTTAACTGCTGTTCTGTAAAGCACCATCGATCTTCAGAGTGTCCCATCATTCAGCTGAGGCCTAATGGGTTTTTCCAAGGGGTACCTGTGGCACTCAGGGCACGAAGGCCCCGTGACTCACTTGTGTGCGATGGTGGTCAGGCGCTCATCGTTCACCGCCCTCCGAACCTCGGCGCGGTGCCGCTCCGTGGAGATGCTGTGGAAAACCAGCCATTTGTTTCAGTCAGGGGGAGAGACACGAACATTTATCTAAAAACTCCAGCTGAAATTAAACTTGTGATTAATCTGCCTCGGAGAGGAAAGGGAACGGGCGTTTACGTTTAAGAGATTGTCACTTAACTTTCGCGGTCGCGGGGAGAAAGGGTGAACTGTATTATTGTTCTTTTTTATCCCTCAGTAATGTTTTGGAACATTACTGTTTACAGGGTACCCCTGCAAAACAGCCAGAATCCAACCTCCTAACGGGAGCAATACATTTAAAGGATATGACAGAAAAATTCACCCAGAACACGCAGCTTTCGTTCCTGAGGCACCCTGTGCTCCAAGACCTTGGAGTTCCACCTTGACAGGACCCCAGGCCAGCACACACTCATGAGCTGGCTGCAGTCCTCTAACACTGCCACAAAGCACCAAAGAAAAGCAAACAGGTCGTGGCTCTTGGTTTAAAGAGGTCAGGGTTACCTGAGCACTTTGGAGAGTTCTCCAAGAAGATCCTTCTTCTCCTTCGTGAGGTCTCCCTGTGCACGTAAGGCACTGATGACACCTGCATAGGCCTCCAGCTCTGGGGGCAGAGAGCAAAGGGGACTTCTGTTTAATGCTCACAGCACAGGGCAAAAAACACACACTGTTTTCCTCATCACTCACAGCATCCTATTAATTTTCAAAATCATTAAGAGGAACATGTCTTTCAATTTATTCAGCGCTTTTCCAAAGAGGTTGATGATTTAGAACTCTCTCAGTCAATTACTCTGCAGCACGAAGCATTTCTGTGAAACAACTGTCTCATCACAGGGGATTATCTGGTTTATAAGCCCAAGTGAGTATGTCAAGCTCTCTCAGAGCTGACAGTTCAGGCAAAAAGCTTGAAGAAACCGTCCCTCAGTTTGGAGAGTAGCTCAGGAATTCTCTAGGAGTAGGAGAAGGAAATCTTTTAACACCTATCATTATTACAAATTCCACAGCAAAGCTTGGCCTGGAAAAGAAATACACTATCAAAAGAGCAGCTTGATTTTTGGTAATGCCTTTCCTTAATTAGCATGGAGAACATCAGCTCCAGTTTGTTAAATACCATCATCATAATCTTTTATGCCCATTTACTTGATATGTGCAACTGCTTGCACCTGAAAAGAATGCAATGCACTGAATTAAACCTGCTCTCAAAAGAAACAATCCAGCTCTTCTGAAACTTAGAGCCATCACAAAGACTAACTCACAAAAATGCAACTCTGATTTACAGGAAATTTGTAATTCCAGGTAACTGTGATGTCATGCCATTGGTGTTCTAAAAAATACAACAGCAAAAGGTACTGAAACTCCTGAATTTTGTCCTGCTGAGCAGGGTGAAGATACACCTAATGCAAACAATGGAGTCTGCTAATTGGCCAGAGAATAACTTGCTATTCTCAGTTTCACACAGTTCAAGGAAATGTTCATCAAAACTCCTGCTTTAAACCAGAAATACAAATTCTTTTGGATCCTTACATACCTGTCTTTCATTTGACACGCCCATTTCAGCAGCCAACCCAAACCAACCCCAAGACAGATCCCAGCTAACCAAAACCAGGAGTTAAAAGGTGCAGGCCAAAAACCTCACACCTCTGAAGCTTGCTGCAAAAGAAAAGGCTGATGCTATTCTGAAAAGCTTTCAGCTCAGGATTCCAAAGAGCTCATTTACAAATCAAATCAGGGAATTGTGCTGAAAAGAAGTCCTGCTCTCCTGTCCTGCTTAAGCAGCCAGAACACAAAGCAGAGTCACTCTGGTTAACTATGCAGCCTGCACAGGGACTCTGAGTGACCTACAGAAGCATTTGCAGCTTCAGTTATAAAACATTTGCTAATTAATGCAATGGTTATTACTAATATCAACATTTATTTAGACAAGCATGTTACAATATTTAAGATACTAATCATTTTCCTCTGTTAACAACTCAAAGTAATTCTCAGCCACAACCATATAATTATTTAGCAAGGATAGACTTTTTTTTTCCCTTCTGCATTATAAATAGAGATCCTCTACACCAGAGCTTTAAAAATACACATTCTGGTCTTTTGGAAGGTGGTGAAGATTACAGAGAGCTGTAACCAGCTTGTGTCTGTGCAGCAATCACTAACTGGGGCGCTCTCTTTCCAACACAGAACGCATCAAAACCCAGCCAAAACAGGTTTCACAAAGAAATATCGTTATTTCCAGCGGGAGGTGCCACCATCACCCAGCTCAGGGACAACCAGGAGCAGCAGCAGGTACCACACACCTCGGGATGCGTCCCAGCCTCACCTACGTGACTCCTGCTGGAGCAACCCTGCTGCTGCTGAACCAGCAGCCCAGTGGGATGCTGTGCTGAGAGCTGGGACAGCAGGGCTCTGGGAAGCAGATGGATGCTGCTGGATGTGAGGGTCAGGGCCCTGCAGCCTGTCTGCAGGGAGAGCTGCTCTGCCCTGCCCTGCTCAGCCCTGCCCCGCTGGCAGGGCCCCCTCGCGGGGACACATTTTGTGCCGGCAGAACAAAAATAAAAAAGGGAGTCTTTTTTTTCATTTTTTCCCCCTTCCTGTCGGCCCAGGTTATGTCAGGGAGGGAGGTGTAGCTGCAGCCCTGCTTGGCTCAGCTGCAGGGCAGGGCTGTGCCAGCACAGCTCGGGGGGAGGGTTTTTCCGCGCTCCCGGCCAACACAGCTCCGGTCACAAAATCAACCACGGTCACAAAATCCAGGAGTGCAGATCCAGCCCAAAAGCCTCTGGCATCCTGCACTTGCTCCTGGTTTTTGTACTTCTGAAGCCCTGCTTGAGACTCAGGGCTGTCACCTTAAGAGATGCCCATCTCATTGCAGGGTCGGGTGCGACGTCTGTGCCACCCTTTCAACAGAATACGCGTCCCACATTCCCAAAAAATCAAAAATTCCCAAAATCAAAAGGGCAAAGGGAGGGAAAATAAACTCTCAGCTCTCAAAACATGAAGTGGATGGCTTCACAACGTATGGGGACCTTGGCACAGCTAGGAAACACGGCACATCACCTCTGAGCATTCAAGCAAAATGAGAACAGGAAAAGCTGCCACTTGATGGTCACAGGAAGTCAGAGGGAGCTCAGCTTTCTTCCTGACATCATCTCCAACACCATGGTCCTCAGAGTGAAGTCTCAAAAGAAATCTAAGGCTTTTTTTCCTTCCCTTCTAGTATTATGTATCATTTAACTGGCAAGAAACCCCCTCAATTAAATAAACTCAGCCCCAAGAACTCAAAACCAACTGTTCTGGATCAGATCAAAGGTCTAACAAAGGATTCCCTTTCCTATGCCAGCCAAAAGAGTATGCTTGAGGAAAGAGCAAATGTTTTTATTACTTCACAAAATACAAAAGCCTCTCTCCTCATACACACAGACCCACGAGGGCAGAGCACAAAACCACCTCCCAGTCCCCTTGGGCAGGGGGCTCAGACACTGAGCTGCATTTGGAACAATGCAAAGAGCTCCTGGGGCTGTGGCAGCTGAGCCAGGACGTGGTTCTGCCCCTGCCCTGATGTGTGTCACTGCAGATCACAAACAACCAGCATCATTTCTTTCCCCCCCTATTTTAAGTCTTCACAGTAGTAACTTTAATACTTGAACTCAGTCCTACAGTGCCAGATAAGCCAGGGTTCCACAATATATTTTTTTGGGTACAAAAAGGTGTCTAAACACAGAACTGGGGGAAGGGGGTTGGAAACAAACCAAAAAAGAACCCCAAAGACTCTCCTCTCATCTTGTTGCATGATAACAGTGGCAAAAAAAACCCAGCAGTGCAACGCACAGGACATCCACGAGAGACTGGACCACACCAAAACCACTCTCCTCCATTCACTTTGCTGGGGCTGAGGGTATCTACCAAACCTCATTTTAACATTTTGAGCCAGGGCTGTCAAACCAACGACACGTGGAAGATGCAGGACACTGCTTGCAAGTCGCCTGTAGATATATTATATTATTCCATGGAAGCAGCAGGCAGGCAAATCTCAGAAGGGCAAACACACAGAGCCACAAATTGCATCTTACTGTACCCAGTTTGCGCAGGATCCTCTTGCACTCATCCCTGCTGAGGTCCAGCAGGGTTGGCCACACCACAGGCATCCTTCCCTCGCCTCTGCGCTCCCACACAGCTCAGCCCCGCTGGAAAAGGAACAGAAACGCTGTGAGCCCAAGCCCGTGATGCATCGATTCCCCGAGCCGAGGAAGGCGGGCTCCTCTCAGCCCGCTCCCGACTCCGGGACACGCTCGCTCCCGCCCTCGCTCCATCCTTTGCCACGGCCCGCAGGAATCCCAAGGGTACGGACTTCCTACACCCTCCCGCTCGGATCATCGCCCAAGCCTTTTTTTCACCGAGTTCCCCGCCTCCTCCCCGAGGCTCTTCCCCGCCGGGCGCCGCCGCTCCCGGGATCGCCGCTCAGCCTCTCCTCCCTCCCGTGATGCACAAGCGCCCATTGCGGGAGCTCTCCCGCACGCTCCCCTTCCCCCCGGGGCACGCATTTTGCACCAGCCCATTGATACGGCAGCACGGCTTAAAAACACCGTGAAAATGCGCTTTCCGCGCACCGACACCCCCAGAAAACACCGACCGACCGAAGGCGGGAGCGCCTCCCGCTGCACCGGAGGGAACGGAGGGAAAAGAGGAGCCGGGGTTCGGCACGGCGGGGGGTGGCAGGGGGTGGCACCGGGAACAAAAGCCCGGGCGCCGCCGCGGCTCCGAGCGCGGGGCTGGACGGAAGGACGGACGGACGGACGGACGGACGGACGGACGGAGGGAGGGAGGGAGGGAGGGTCGGTCTCCCACCAGGGCGCCTCCCGGGCGCTCCCCGCCCGCCCTCCGCGGCCCCTAGGCGCTGTGCCCCGCCGGCTCGGGGGAAGCATGCAGGGAGGGAGGAAGGGGGGAGCGGGCGCTGCTGCCCGCGCCGGGCGCGGACGGGGCGCTGCCCCGGGCTCGGGGGGGGGCGGCGGGTCCGCGCCGTCCGGGGGAGCGCAGCTCCCCGTGCCCCCGCGGCGGAGCGCTGCGGGGCGCGGGACCCACCTGGCCGGCCGTGCCCGGCTCATGGGAGGCGCGGCGGCGGCAGGACCAGGACCCCCCGCTCCCGTTCCCGGGGCCGCGCTCCGGTTTGTTTGGCGGCGGTGGCGGCGGCGGCGGCGGCGCTTCTCCGAGCCAAGATGGCGCAGCGGCGCGCTGCGCATGCGGGCGCGCCGCGGGGCGCGCCGGGAGTTGTAGTCTCCGCCGCCCCGCGACAGTGAGGAGATGGCAGGAGCGGGTGCCAAGATGGCGCGGGGCGCGTGCGCGGTGGCGCGGAGCACGCCGGGAGCTGTAGTTCTCTCGGGGTCTCCCGAAGCGGCGCCGACCGTCCCGCCATGGCCCCGGCGGGCGGCTACGGGCATCCGGAGCGGACAAAACACCGCGCGCGTCCTCTGCGCGGGCCGGGGCGCGCGGCGCGCTTCGGGAGGCTCCAAAATATCGGGAATTCACATCCCGCCGCCGCTCCCGGAGCGAAACCCCGGGCGGCTATCGGTCGTTTCCGGCTTCCTGGGTTGAAAAAAAGCGGCGCCGGGGGCGCGCGGGGCTGCGGCGAACCGCGTGTGAGCGAACAACAAAGGGGAGCGAACCCCGCACCTCCGGCCCCCTCCCAGCGCCGCGGGGGCTCCGGGGGACACCGGCCCTCCGCTGCATCCCACAGCCAGCAGCACTCGCTTTCCTGCGCATATCCACGAAAAAAACCCCACAGCAAACCTTATCTATTTAAAAGCCCTCGGTCCAGACTAGAAATAGAAAATAAACTGCCTCCGGGGCGCGGCTGGAAACCAACGCGCCCCATTCGTGACTGCGCAAAATCGTTGCAGCGAGGAAGTATTTAAAAAAAAAAAAAATTTAAAAAAAAATCCCATCCGTGAAAACGCCTGCGAGAAACGGCTGGAAAACCTCCCCGGGGCTCCCCATCGGCTCTTCCCGATGGACACCTTCTCCCTGGCTGTTCCCTGCTGTTCTCACAGCGCGGTGAATCCCGACAGGTTGGTCAGTGGCTCGGGATGTCCTCCTGGCACAAGCATCTCTATTTTAACTTCATCCTGTTGCCCTCACGCCACTCCTAAATTCCCTCTTCCTCATCGCTCTCCCATCCCATTTTTCCTCCCTGGCTCAGAGCAGGAGCCTCAGCAGCGTTCGGGCACTGGCACCTCGCCAGAGGAGCCTCTAACACACACCCGGGTCTATTTGCATTTAAATCCACACGGATATGTCAGCTGCTTTCACCAGAGATAGCTTTGTGTTGCCAGTCAACAAATATTCCCCCCCCTTCTATTATAATACGTATTATATTCAACAAACAAATCTATTTTACAAATCCTAACAGCTTCTGAGCTCGAAGTATGTGAAATTCAGCAAGGCTCAAAAAGGCATCAAAATGCCACTGCGTATCCAGTCGAGCATCTATTTAAATACTTTGCTGCACCGAGGCAAAATCTCGATTATGTAACCTCGGATAACGACAAAAATCCCTTCCTCGTGTCATTCTGCAGCATATCGGGGGAATTAAAGCTGGTACCCTCTGCAATCTGGGGAGGCAGATGCAAACCTCCACCCTCTGTGGCGTGCTGTGTTGGCAAGGAGCACATAAACCTGCTGGGAAGGAAGCAAAGCCACTCCTCGGGATAGGAAGCCTCAGAATAAGGGGAAATATTAACATTATCGCTCCTCTGAGCCACTTCAGTCCTTATCTATGGCCACACCACAAACCCTGGGCATCTCTGACAAACTGCTGCCACTCAAAGAACGTGTCCCAGACCAGCAACTGGCAGAATTCAGCCCCTCTGGGACCTGATTTGCCTGGGATTTTAGGGCAGCTGGCATCTTCTCTCTCAAGTTACACTTTTAACCCACCAACAGACTGTCTGTTGCTTTTTAGCCCGAATCAACTCCTCAGCAAATTTCCTTGCTCCTGATTTTGACCAATTATTTTCACAAGGCTTGGTGTGCTATAGGGGCTGGGGGAGCGAGAGAATGTTAGTGATTAGAAATATAAATAATCCTAATATCAATACCAGAAATTACACTGGTCCTGGAACACCTTGCAAGTGAAAGTTTAAGTAAAGATACAGTATTGTTGCAGGGTGAAAACAGCAATGGGAAACGAAAGCATTTGCAAAGCAGAGAGGCTGATATTCCTGTCACTGAGCAGTTCCCAGGGCAGCTTTGGGCAAAAGTTCCTGTGCTGGAGGATCTCAACACTGGGGATTAATTAGCAAGGCTTGTGCAGACCAAACAAAGACAACCCTGGGCTGGGGAGAGCAATCAGGGGAAAGAAAAGATGGCTCAGACCCTCTCACTCTTAACCCCTTCATAGTGACGTGACTGTTTCAGAGTGAAACCCGATGGAAAACCTACAGAAACCACCATTCTTTGAATCAGAACCATAAAAAGATTCCAGTGAAATAGGGAAAATGCAACGGGAATCGGGTCTGATAAACCCCTAATGTTGTTGTAGATGTCATTAACTTTAATTTGCAGAAAGCGAACCTTGAGGGAGGAGCTGGGATACAAACCCTCAAAACCGGCTCTGTGGGATTAACCTGGTGTCCATTTAGTTCTGACACGCGGGTTTATCCCAACAACAACGGGGCTGTGAGGCTTGCAAGGGAATGTTGCAGTGAAAAGAGCCAGGAAAACATTTCAGACCTCAAATATTCTCTCGGGAACAAATGTTTAAGGGAGGGAAATGTGCAGGAGTGCACTGTCACACTCCAACAGGGCAATCAGACAGTAAAGGCACCCTGACTCGCACCCTGCGAAGGAGACAGGCAGCTCATGTCCAGAAGCACACAGAGCGGGTTGCTTTACACTACATTTTCAGTATTATTACACCATATCTTTATTTTTACACCACTTATTTTTATTATTATTACACTGTCTATTTTCAGTGTCATTACGGATGATAATAATAATGGAACACAAACACCCCCGGGGGTATTTAAGCCAAGCCTGGACATGGACACTGACATTGGAACGGGCTGCCCAGGGAAGTGGTGGATTTGCCGCCCCTGGAGGTTTTTAGGATGAGACTAGATGTGGCACTGCGTGCCATGGTCTGGGAACCACGGCGGGGTTGGATCGAGGGTGGAACTCGATGACCTCGGAGGTCTTTTCCAACCCGGCCGATTCCACCATTCCATGGCGCTCAGCGGCACAGTTTGGTTGACAGGGCGGTGTTTGGCCACGGGTCGGACTCGATGGTCTCAGAGGCCTTTTCCAAGCTCAGCGATCGCGCATTCTGGGTGTGAGAGAGGGGCGAACCCAGCCGGAGCGCTGCCCGGGCCCGACCCCGGCCTCACGCCCGGTTTTGGGGCGCGCACCTCGGAACGCGCCGCGGTCCCGCCGCGCATGCGCAGGGGGCCCGGCCCAGGGGCCCGTCGAGCGCAGGCGCGGGCGCGGCGCGGTGCCCGCGGCGCGGGGCACTGTGGGAAGGAGGCGGCCCCGGCGCGGCGCTGACTCCTCCGGGCCGCTCACAGCACTGTGGAGCCGCCGCGGCCCCTCCGGCCCGCCCGCCCTGCGCGCCTTTAAAGGGGCAGCGGCCACCATGCCGAACTTCTGCGCCGCGCCCAACTGCACCCGCAAGAGCACCCAGTCCGACCTGGCCTTCTTCCGCTTCCCGCGGGACCCGGCCAGGTGAGCCCGCGGCGGGGCCGCGCAGCGCCCCGGCTCTGCCCTCGGCCCCGGCAGGGCGGCACCGCGGCGGGAAAGGCGCCTCCCTCCCTCCGTCCTTCCCTCCCTCCCTCCGTCCTCCGCCCTCCCTGCCGCTCACCGCCGTGCCGGTGCCCGCAGCTCGGCCCTGCCCCGCGGCCGCGCTCGCTCTGCCGCCCGCGGGGCTGCGGCAGCGGGCGGGCCCCGCGCCTGCGCCGGGCGGGGCGGCCGCGGGGGCGGAGAGCTCCGGGAATGGGAACGGGGATGGAGAGCGCCGGGAATGGGAACGGGAACGGTCCTGGGGATGGAGAGCTCCGGGAATGGGAACGGGAACGGGGATGGAGAGTGCCGGGAATGGGAACGGGAACGAGGATGGAGAGCTCCGGGAACGGGAACGGGGATGGAGAGCTCCGGGAACGGGAACGGGGATGGAGAGCGCCGGGAACGGGAACGGGGATGGAGAGCGCCGGGAATGGGAACGGGGATGGAGAGCTCCGGGAATGGGAACGGGGATGGAGAGCTCCGGGAATGGGAACGGGAAGGGTCCCGGGGATGGAGAGCTCCGGGAGAGCCGAGAATGGGAATGGTGCTGGTCCCG